TATATTTTAAAAGAATGAAAAACTTTTAAAATCAAAGGATTAATCATTTTCCATTTTATTTCTTCTATATTCGTTGTATTTGCTGTATTATTGTAAAAAATTTTCTCTGATCTCTTCTAAAAATATAATAACGACCGATAAAAGTGAGCAAACTTTTAGGATAGGGATAACAATCTTGTTTTCAAACATGATGGGCAAAAATGATGGATGAAGTTTTTATTAGAACGCAACAGAACAAGATGCAGCGTGACCACCGGACGATTTTGATTGAGAAGGTTAAAATTTGAAATTCTGACCGGTGAAGGGAAAAAACGCGACCTCTTCCCTATGTCTATGCAAAGCATCGCGAGAGGGTTGGACTTGCATGCACGCGTGCCTACGTAAAGGACGTATGTCCACGTCAAACTCCTTCCGAGTGTGCACGTTCTGGAACAAGGTAGTGGCTCCCTTCCGGCAAGTGTTTCCAAAGGACACCACTCTCGTTTTGCTGCAACAGAATTCACCCTCCCTATTTCTCACCCTCTCTATGAACAGGACGTTTCAGAATGATGGGTTTGGTTAGGTGAGATTTTAATTGATAAAGAATTTTTATTTTATTTTTTGGAAACGAAGCTTTCTTATTATTATTTGAATCAAAAATATTATAAAGTATCGTTTTCTTCGCGTTTTTCGAAATTTATTATTCCTCTATCATTAAAATATGTTTTGAAAGAAATTTGAAGAAGAAAAATCTTATATTTAAAGCTCTTCTTAAAACTTGAATATTAAAGATGTTTTTCTCAGTTCGACTTTCCATGCTTCTTCAAATAAGATCATATATTCTTGACATTGCAAAATATTTGTCAGAATATTGTCACAATATTTTCTCTGTCTTTTTTCTCGTCTAGGCCCCGAGGTTACATGTATAGATGTATATACACAGAAGCTATATGTATAAACTCTTTACTTTCGCCTTATGCATATCTAATGTTCTCGTTGGCCGGATATTTACAAGTCAAATGCTAGCGATCGATACGCGTTAGAAGGATCGAGTGAAACCGACACAGAGGAGAGAAGAAACTCACGATGAGAATCTTTAGAGTAAAGAAAATACGAAAAAAAAAAGAGAAAAAAATAAGAAAATAAGATGAAGGAACGAAGAAAGAAGAGAAAGAAGTAAAGAAACGCGAAGAATGAACTAAAGAAAAAAAAAAGAATAGGAAAAAAGAGAGAAGAAAATCGAAGGAGAATACACAAGAAATCAAAGAAGATAACAAAAAAAAAAAAAAAGAAGGCAAGAAGAGACTTATAGTGAAAATTTCAAAAGTAGTAACGATAAGAAGAGAACGGGAAAAGAAATGTAAAGAATGATGTAACGACAAAAAATTGGACGGAGGGAAAAGGAAGAAAAGGCTCGCGGTGGAAGAAATTTCCAGTGAAGTGAAGAAAAAAAAATTATGCGAGAAAGAGAGGAGGAGGAGGGTAAAGAAAGAAGGGGGACGAGGAAAAAAAACATGAGGAACGATGTACCGAGAAAAATGGGACACGCAAAGAAGAAGCGTACTACCGTATTTATTTTGTCTCGGAGCGATGGTTCGCCGCATATCCCGGTGCACAAAAGAATCGTGCCTCCAGTTCTTCGACGATAAAGTCCGCGGGGGCAGGGAGGAGAGAGGAGGTGAACTACGGGAACCATGAGTTTTCCGTTACGGGCGGAGACTTCAAAAAGTTGTTCAGCACGAGGGCAAGGAATTGCACGCGACCCTTGCATGTAGAAACTTCTCGCGATCCGAGAGATGGGGGAAGGGAAGGGTTATACTCCCCGAAGGATCTCGATTCCCGGATGAAATAAATACCCAAAAGAGGTTCCTTCGGGTATCCTTCGACCCTTTGCGTGCATCGGTTAATCGATTCAATGAACCCTATTACCGATAGCAAAGTGTGTCCTTTTCGTATTGAAATCGGAACGGTGTATCGAGATAGGAACAGTGGTTTCGAATAATCTTTCAATTTCTTTTTTCTTTTCTTTTCTTTTTTTTTTTTCTTGCCGGTTACCGGTAAAGATTCGTTTTTATCGCTCAAAGGAATTTGTACGTTGTATTCTTTCTTAACTAACTTTATCCTTAGGAAACTAATTTCGAGGAAGAAAATTTTCTGTCAAGGCGTATTATACAATCTTTGCGTCTAACTTTTGTCTCTTCCTTTGTCTCTTTGAACGTTACCTCTGGTCGGTACTCTGATTCGTAAATAAAGTAATCTTATTTGACTCTATTACTGTTACAACAGTATCATATGCACGATAAAGGATGTGTATCTTTGAGTGTTCGGGAAATGTAATGATTTAATTTCTTCTTTTATGCCGTTTAAAACTTCAAGAAGTTTAGTTATTTTCGTAAATAGTAGTGCTTCTTTGTTCATTTCAATTTAACAAGCAATAATACAATATTTCTTTTTTACAAACACAGCTCTAGTATCGAAATGAAAATTCTTTCAATTATTTATGCCGTATTTTTACACTTTCCGCTTTCATCGGAACAAATTATTGCGCGTCCCTCAATCATCGGCACAACGAGGATCGGCGCAATCTTCGAATCGCATTATTTATCGCGCTACCAATAAACTGTCTGCCAGGCTAGGAATATAAAAATGTCGTCTTAATTGACAGTGAATTGGTGTTACGTGATAATCGGGCCGGAATTGAAAAAAAAATGGCGTTATCGAGAGGGATTAACGCTCAACGTTATTCGACACGCAACGAGAGGAAAATCTCTATAGCAATAGAGACAAAAAACAATCGTTGTTTCGTATTCGCAGAAAAAGCAATTTTTAAACAACAGTATTCTCTCTTATGCGCGGGAAAAATTCGTGGTAACAACACGAATAGGATAATTATGGGAAGAATGAATTAAAATTGAAGGTAACAATTATTTCTAATCAATCTCTTAACGAAGCTTGAGAATTTGGAAAAGCAGAATTAATCCTTAAGAAATATTAATACACCATATTTAAAAATAATAACGAAATCTTCCTCCTCGTCCTCAGAGAAGATTCCTCCTACTCGCGCACAAATTTTTCCCCCCTTAAACTCTTCCCGCTGGAGAATCCTTTCCCATTTCTCGCTCGTATACCAAATTTCGTTACTGCACACCCTATTTGTCCCAATTCAGCCGAAAATAGCCGAAAACGAAAGTCAAGCTTGGATACGCAACGCTCGATGCCAACCAATTACACGATCGCGTTATAAATATTTGATCAAGGGGGTATCGGGCACACGCAAGCTGCGTGGTTATTTGATAAAGGTCGGCCCAACCAACCCTTCGTCACAGCGTCGAAACGAACGATAACCAAATTGGGATTACGCGCTCCCTCGTATTTGCTCCTCCTCCCCCCTCCCTTTTGGGAATCGGTATATATCGAGGGTGTGTACAACCCGCGGAAAGAATCGATGCATCCAGCCTTCACGCGTTTACACGCCTTTCCTCCTCGTCGCCTTCCCCGTCACATTCGCCGGAGGGAAAATACGTACCCTCCCCTCCTTCCTCCTTCCTTATTTCTCCTTCCCTTCTCTTTCCCTCCTTTCTGCAGGGAGTCTCGAAATAAATTCAAATTGTAAGAACCCGTCTGAGGCACGATTTGTCGTCGTCGTCGTCGTGCCGTTTTCCCCGACGACCTCTTCTTCCGCCCCTCCCAGTGGGGGAGGTAGAGAATGAATTGTGCCCGCCGGTACCCTCCACCGGCGGCGGAAAGAGAGTAATTTGATGCACAACCTCGAAACTCCCGGACGATAATAAAAGGGTTAAAGTGTGTGCTCGGCGTCGTGTTGTATTAATTTAAGTTCACCGACGAACGGAGGGAGGGAGGAGGGGTGGTATACACACTGAAACGATATTAAGTTAAATTACCAACAGGCTGGGGAAGGTGGGTGGGGTCGGCCTTTCCACCTTCCACGACTTGGTTCGAGATTAACGTAACGAAGCAAGGAATAGGAAGAAAAGAAAAGCTGAAGGTCGGAAAGAGGGGGAGGGAGAAGAGGAAAGAAGACAGGGAAGGGGTTGAAGGAGCACAACAAAGGGAGATGCAGGAGGTGGTAGTCGAAAGTATTGCGCTCGTGGAGTTCAGTGATAACGGAGAAAAGTTGAGCTTCTTTTTTTTTGTTGGCCGCGTTGCGACTCTCGATGCGACTATCCTGAGGGGGGATAGGGATTTTGCCGTGGATCTTTCAGTTAAAAATGTTTTTAATTAAGATCGCTCCGCTGTTAATGCCCCGCGGAGAAGGATTATACGGAAGAAATACTAATTGACGACGACGTGTTACGCGGCGGCTCGTTGCACGAGGTTAATAGCTTGCGGTTGTCGCGTGTGGGATTGGCATCGAATGTGTGTAGGTAATTAATTTGTCGTTGGAAGAAAGAAAATTATATAGTTTGTATTATAAAGTGAAATTATAATGCAGTTTCAAAATTACTATATATTATCGAATGATACAATAAAGTTTTGAAAATGCCAAAGAAGAATTTTACGAGGCAAATCGTTGGATGATCAAAAAGAATTCGCAACTAACGAACGAATAAATATTTAACCCATTATCCGACTATAAAGATTTCAAATTGGCCTTGTGTATTGAAATTATATCTTGAAAGCTTTTAGCAATCTCCATATATCATCGGATAGCTTGCATTTAATCTCCCGTAAAAGGGAACTACGCGCGATAATATCAAAAGCTAGCTTTTTTTAAACCGAATACTTTTTTTTCTTTACATTCTTATTAACGTAACAAACACGCGATTATGATGTAGTTTGTATCAACATCAACAATTTTCCCCTCCCATTTCCAGTTCCTCGATGAAACCGGACAAAGATCCAGCCAAAGTGTACACGAAAACTTTTCTGAGAACAGAGCCACCCGATTGAATTACGTCCGATCCGATTTTCCACCTTGAACAAGGAAAGGTGGATCTACTTGGTGCGTAGATCCGAACAGGTTCTAATCTTGGGCCCCATCGTGTTTCATTTGTTAACAGAAATCCTCGGGATGGAGCTAAGAACGGCGAAACTGTTGCTTTACTCGACGCTAATGGTGGTGGTGTGTTGGAGCCAGGAATATTGGACGGCTCAGTGTGCATCCTCGTGCAAGTGCAGATGGATCTCCGGGAAGAAGGCCGCGGAGTGCATCCGGCAGAATCTCTCCCAGATACCTGCCGGCCTATCGCCCGAGATCCAGAATTTCGATCTGACCGGGAATCGTATCACGTACCTGATGCACGAGTCGTTCAGCCGGGTGCATCTGGTCAACCTTCAGAAGCTGGTGCTGCGAAAATGCGAGATCGAGTTGATCCACACGGACGCATTCAACGGTCTGAAGATCGTGATCGAGATCGATCTGTCGGCGAACAACATTGGAACGTTGTACCCGGGCACGTTCGAGGAGACTCAACGGCTTAGGGTGCTGCTGTTGAACGACAACAAGCTGAAGGTATTGGAGAACGGCCTGTTCCATAATCTGAAGTATCTGCAGAAGGTCGAGTTGTCGAACAACGAGCTCGAGCGGATAGACGACAAGACGTTTCGCAATCTGCCCGAGTTACGCTCGTTGACCCTGGACGCGAACAATCTGAGCGCGTTGAAGGTGCAGAGTTTCGACACGTTGCCCAAACTTGGCAGCCTCGAGCTGCACAACAACCCGTGGAATTGCAACTGCCGTTTGAAGAGATTTCGCGATTGGACGATAGAAAAGAAATTGTACACGAAACCTACGACGTGCCAGGAGCCGGAGAGCTTGGCGGGGAAGATGTGGGACGAGATCAGCAGCGACGAGTTCGCTTGTAGGCCGGAGATATTCACGATCGGGCCATCCGTGAGGGTCGAGGTCGGCAAGGGAAACGTCACCTTTTGGTGCAGGGCTTCCGGGATCCCGCGGCCGCAGGTAACACGATCTATATTTACGTTATTTAAATTTTTGTTCGTAGAAACGGTGGTTTAAGGGATGGACGAGGAGTGGAATGAAAATGGTAAAATATTGTAAAGCGAGGCACGCGGTTAACTCGAGGGGAGAAACGTTGATTGCGGTAATCCACAGTAACTTGCGAACAGTACAACTCTGGCTCAAGGCAGAGGTTAGGTCGGTTGAAAAGATTGCAAGGGTTGAACCCGTGTTGGGAGAAGTTGGATCATGGAACATTTTTATTTAATGCCTGTTCTTCCTTAATTGTAATCACTTATTACATTTGTATTATACGAGAATATTGTATTTTTGTATAAAGTAGAAATTATATTAATTCTAATTTCAATTTCGTATCTTAATAGATGCACTTTGAAGGCAATAATATTTGTTTCTGTATAATAATTATTCTCGACGAGTTGACGAGAAGTCCGTGTGCGAACCATTAATTGAAAACCGTGTCACGAAATTTCCTTGATTTAACGAAGATTCTTTGACTACGCGAAGAATGACACGCGGCCAAGTAGAAAGCGAAAGGTTCAAAAGATCAGAAAGAGAAAATAGTGGTCTTTTGAAATATCATCGTACAAACGGGGAACGTAGTTACGCGAACCTTTGCGTGCAATAACGAAGCGCTTTCGAATTTTCTACAGCATGAAAACTGAAAAATTAAGAACATCCTTACAATCTTTTCACTCGCACGTACTTACCACACATTGCCGGTACACAAAGCTAAAATAACGTCACCTAGCACGCATAGTGACATAAATGACATAATGCGTTGCTCGATACGCTAGCCAGCATGTTATAATCAACGTTTCAACGATCATCCATAAAATGATAAATTATATCTAATAACAAAAAAGAAAAAGAAAAAAACATTCATCCAAACTTACGACACGATACGATATTCCCTGTTTAATTTCAGCTATCTTGGGTCCATCGGTCGCGAGTGATAAACAATCACACGAGAAGGCACAACGGTGAGAAGATCTACATCCTGAAATCTAACCACGAGTGGCTGAACCTCACGATACCGGACGTGGCACACTCGGACAAGGGTGATTACGTCTGCCTGGCGAAAAGTCCGGGCGGAAATACGGAGAAGAACGTGACCCTGACGATCGCAGGCGACGCCCTGGGCGGCAAGGACAATATAATCAGTCTGCCCCTCGCCCTGGGCTTAGGTGTGACCGCGCTACTGCTTCTGATCGTCACCGTAACCCTTTGCGTGTGCTACTGTCGTCGCCGTCGTATCAGGCACGACGAGAAGAGCCTAGAGGCCGCCTCGATGGAACACCACGGCCTGGGCGAGCAGGAGAAGTCCCTCATCACGACCATAAATCCCGTGGTGAAGCCGCCCAGGCGGTACGAGGCGCCTTCGGTGACGTCGCACGGCACCGAGATGACGGAGCTGAATCGTACATTGCTCGACAACGACTCGGTCTTCGGTCAGTACACTGCCTACATTACTAAACAGTGCGTGGCCAGGTGCTAGCTACTAACCATTTGTTAGCTTCCGGCCGGCGATTACGTTTGGACGGCCCCTCGATGCCTCGATGGTGCCTCTCGCCTCGCGTGCAACCTGCACGAGCACGAAACGAGGAAATCGAACGAGTAATGGATTTCCGAGTGTGAACTCGCCCGTTATTCTTTCCACGTTTACGATAACTTTTACGAATCTTTTCGATCGATCCGAGTGTCAATATCTAATAAGCAGATGTCTCTTTTTTTCCTTTTTTTTTTTTTTGGAATTAGAAAATATTCCGAGAATTTTGAGAGTATCGCAGTTGATGACGAGGGTTGAAGTTAATAATGTAATTCGAGAAGGAAAAGTAAGAATGGAAGGATAAGGAGAATATTTTTTAAATTGTTAAATTTTTGCTACGAATTATAGTGGAAGTTATGTATATGTATAGTTAAAGTTCAGACTTTTTCTATTGGCTGTTTTATTATGAATCGTAAAAAAAAGGATATAAACGAGAAAAAGTCTCGTAACACGTTCTATGCAAAGTAAGAATAATAAAAAAGAAAGAATTGTTATATTCCTTCCAGAAAGTATTCTTTTACTTATGTTAAATATTATGTTAGTGAACTACAGAGTAAACTAGAAATGTACGAAATATACGAAAACTTATGATGAGAAGTCAATTTTAACGAAGCCGATAGTAGCTTAATTACATACTCGTTTTTATCTCGACATCTATCCGACAAAAAAATCGAAAGTTTTCGAATAAAAGTAAAGTGTCAATTTATGCGTAACGTTCAATCTAACTTTTTCATCCAGGACATTTTTTTAGCTTTAAATTTTCTTGAAAAAAAGAAGAAAAGGGGGGAAAAGGACTCTCCCGATCTTTCTCGCGCCTTTCAAACTCAAAAAACCAAACTACGTCAAGGATAAAGATTAAATATTTTTATAAACACTTTAACTATGTACATTTATTCATCCATGATAATACGTTACAATTTGCGATAGAACAAAGATTAAAAAAAAATTCCAAAAAAGTACTCACGTTCAACATTATATAACATTCAATGTTATATTCCATTTGGTAAAACATTGGGAAAATTGGAAATCGAGGAAAGTTGAGATACTACATCCTCTGTTCATTTCTCTGTGTACAACATATTCGCGGTGCAGCAGCAGTATTCGTAGCAGAATCATCCTGCGCTGATATTGACACGGAGATCAATCAACACGAACAAAGGAATTTCACCCCCCCCCCAATAACGGGGAGGTGAAACGCCGAAACGAAATCCAATTTAGATATTGTTAACGCTCGGATCATTAATCTTCCGATTTCCTTCGAAAACATTCGTTCGTTCCCGGTATCGTAGCTATCGTCGCTAATTAAGGGGCGGAATAGATTAATCGAATTGCACGTATATGGAGAGTGTATTTAACTTTAAGACAATCGTATTAATGCTGGCGAGGTTTCGGTATAATCCCTCCCTACCAGATAAATGAGGCGCCATCGATCCTAGGTTAGCGAGTATCGACCAAGACTATTGCAAGATTAATGAGAGCGTGTAACATGTTACGATACAGAGAGAAAGGAAGTGAGAAAGGAGCGGAGCGAGAGTGTGTGCATGCGTGTGAAGCAAAATTGAAAGAGAAAGGCATTCGTCATTCGTGTCTGGTCGTTATCGATAGCGGTTTGTTTTTTTTTTTCTTCTCTCTCTCTCTCTTCTCCCCTCCGCGAACAATCTCGTTTTTCCGGAAAGAAAACACGATGCATGCGGAATGCCTCTGTCTGGTGGTCGTTAATTAGACACGACGTAATCTAATCGCCGTGTTTCACGGACGTATTCGAGAAACGATTATTTTGATAGACTTGTAAATACACGATCGTTCAAACGAATGGATAAATTCTATTACAAACGTCGACGCGGTCGACGCGTCGAACAGAAATCGAAGTACTATTTTTGTCGTTTAGCTTACGGTTGCTCGTATCGTGGCGACGTGGTTGTACATAAGTGTGCATAATCTTCTCGCAGAGAGCAACGATGACGATAATAATGGCGATCAACGAGAAAAGCGGAATATATTGCGTTTATAATACATTAATTCGATTTGGCGGCTAAATACCGTGAAAGGAAGATTCTACCGCGTAAGGAAGTACGACGCGAAAGAAACGAAACGCGAATGGAAAATCGAGAGAGTAAATGAGCGACGAGTTGGTCGGTCTCTAGCGTGAATAATGAAAATACAATGGGGAACAATGGGAGAGCTCGTGATTGTGCACGCATAGAGTGGCGATTAAAACGATAAAGGAAAAGGAAAGTGCGCGGTTCGCAATATTTGCCTCGGCTCCAACAAAGGGAGAGTATAATAATCATTACGCGGTGCCCCCCTCTGAATTAGCAGACTGCCGTTTTATCGAGACGATTCATGCATATTCCTATCCCGCAAACTATGTCTAAACATGTATACCTTCTTACACGTATGAGACGATTTTCCGTGTCTCTTTCTCCGCGCACTTTCGAAGACAGTAATTGAAATTGTCGAGGATCTCGTATCTAAACAGCCACCTTCCGCATCTCAACTACCTCCGTGTACACCGATACCCCTTTGTATCCGCTGGCGGAAGGTTGGTGTGCAATCTTTTTCTTTTCACATCCTTGCCCTACTTTCTCCTCCGCTATTGAACAGGATTCGAGTAAGTGAAAAATACGAGCCCCGATAAAACCTCTATGATTACCGGTTTTAGTTTACACGCCACCGAAGATTTCACGCTAGAGACTATAAGTAAGTCGGCCCCGCTAAGGGATGGAAAGATAGAATTGTAACACTCACAACTGGTCTGTGAACTTAATTATAAATAGATACGATGCCAACGTGCACGGTTATATATTGGCAATTATCGAAAATAACGAATCAGATCCATTGTCTAATTATCTTTCCAGCTTTGTGTTAGAACCGCTTAAGAATACTTGTGCGTAGATAATATCTGAGTGAGATATGCACGGTAAAAAACTACACTAAATAGGTATGTAATGTAATATATCGATATCGATCTGCATTTCATTTTCTTGACAGATTCGTTACACAGGGGGAGGGAGGGACGGTTTGAAAGTCTCGGTCGATGTTTAAATAATAGCTTCGAAGCAGGAGCCGAGCGAAACATACAAGAATCACGACCCACTTTTCTGACGATGAAATTTTATCTCGAAGGGTACGATCGATTTACCTGTCTTCGAGATATAAGCCGTGACAGCTCTTGTATATTATATAATCTTCCTCGATAGCGGTACACGATATTTGACGTGGTTCCTTGGAAATGAAGGTATCAAGCTTGGATATTTTTTATCATTATCGACAATTGCGAATTTAGCGTTTTAGTTATGGGAGGGGTCGTAAGACGTCTGTCCAGTTCGAAAGAAGCTTTCTCGAGAAACGTTTTGCTTCGAAGGTATACTGAAAAAGAGTATTTTTAGTCGGTATATCGAAATAGGAACAGATGTTAGGGATTGATTGAACTGAATTTTACGATACTCTTTATTACGTATGTTTTAGAATTAAGTTTAATTTTATCGTTATTTTAACATTCTTTTTTTTTTTATACTAACATTTCTAAATTTATTTGCATGCGATTTTATATCATTACTCGATTATTTTAAACTTTCAAACGATATATGATGAGTCGAAATGATCCATGATGATATTTGGATGATATTTAAACTGAATTTAACTCTATAATTTATATATTCTCTGATTGAAAAAAAAAAAGAAAGAAAACTTCCTCGAATCGGATCATTTTTTTCACGATTCATGGTAACTCACGTTTCGCGGTATCACGTAAATAGCGCAAGAATCCAGAATCGTCCGACTATTCACCAGATCTGTCTCTACGTCCTTGTACCAAATTGCAACTACTAGATTCAACTCGAAAAACCGCAAGACGTATCTCGTATTTACACACAATCCATGCCTACGCGAATGATTCGGCGATGAATTACCCCCTTTTACTCTCTTTTTCTCCCCCCCCCCGTCCCCTTTTCTTTTTTATTTCATCATCATTATCGCGCCTTTCACTTTTCTTTCTTAACGTTCGCCCTTCTTTTTTGTTTATGTTCTGGCAGCTGATGGTATCGGTGGCGGTGTCGGCAGCGGGGTGATCGGCGGCGTCGGCGACGACGAGAGGGAAGAACGAGCGACGCCAGAGCTCGAGAGCGGGACAGGCACCTTATGCCGCGGAGGAGGCGGAAGCTATCGCCAGTATCCGCCCGATTTGTTGGCCTTCTCCGGGGGCCGGGGCGCATCGCCAACTAGCCAGGCGTCCACGGCGCCGGACAACACGCGTCTTCCTAGTCAGACGCCCACCACGGCCGCGTTCGGCTCGCCCTCGAACCAATATCCGGCCGCATTCAAGACGTTGCCTCACAACCGTAGCGTAACCCCGTACGGGATCACGAGCTCCACGATCGCGCCCGTGATGCCCCGCCACGGCTACGTGACGATACCGAGGAGGCCGAGAGCGCCCAGCTGGAGCAGCGGGCCCCCCACCTCGCCCACGGACGGATTGGAGCCGGTGTACGACAATCTGGGGCTGAGGACCACCGCGGATGGTAGCTCGGTGCTGTCGTTGAACAAGAGCCCCGAACCACTGTCCACGATGAGGAACAGGCCCCTGCCCGGAACGCCGGCCTCCCATTACGGCACCATACAACGAAGCACCCCGAACATATTGACGAGCAGCCCGCTCGACAGATCCGCGCCCGAGGGCGCGGCTGAATGGCCGTCGAAGATCCAAGACGAGGCGACGGACAGCACGAATCAACTTCTTGGACAACAGGCGCAACAGCAGCAGCAACAGTCGGGCAGTAGTAACACGCTTAATAGGAAAGTGCCACCGAGACCACCGCCGAAACCCAAGAAGAAGTCGACGAACGGGCCTCTTTACGAGGACGAGGGTGAAGACGGTACGGAAGTATGATCGATGTACGTCGGCCGGCGAAGATGAGGCCGCGAGGTCGTGGCCGTGGTGAGCACGAGGGACGCGTGACCGAAGCCACAATAAACCGGTAGTGCCTTCTCGAAGAAACGATCTCGGGGGATGCCGAGGATCGTCGATTTATTATTCGGTTGGAGCGCGTTCGGAGGCGTCCGGCCGGCAAATGGGCTGACGAACGAGCGTGCGAGGGCTTCCACATCCGGTGATGAGAGAGGGATCGTCGGGTAGATCCGCCGACTCGCCGGGATACAGCGGCGAAAACATCCTCGGGCGAGACGCCTTTTGCCGGTCGTTCTTTCTTCGCCCATCCGTGTTCCCCATGTCTCTCTTTATGTATTATTTTAATTTATTTTATATCGCAGGGTTCGTTACGGACACGTTGCGTGTGTATATGTGGCTCGTGAGATCGACATTTAAAAGAAATATTTCGCGAGGAGAACGAAAATTGACTACGTTCTTCTTACGATCGTATACATAATTTTAGGGGGGAGGGGAATTTGTTTTTTGATCGATCGAAACAATCGGATTCGATGGACAGATTCGTTACGAACGTTCCTGCGACGGTCTCGATGCAAGGAGAGAAATAGCGTAGAGATAACGTCTTGCGCCGTTGGATGAACATTTATTATCAGACAGTTTTGTGTAAGATACAACTTAACGAGATAATTAGCATTAAGGATAATGTCGAGAGACGTTCTCGTCTTATTTATTGACGTGCTTGTCGCATGCCAAACGAGGATTCGAGCCACATTTTCACATCGTGTGAACGATCCATTATTTTATACTATGTCGGGATGATCATGCGATTAATACCTCTTAATTTTTATTCCTTCTTTTTTTTTCTCTCTCTTTTATTTTTTATTTAAATTTCGCACCACACGCCGACGTGCCCGCGTCAGGCATTTTTACACGAATTATTTCGAATTTATTAGCGTTTTTTATTTTATCTCTTCAGGGGAGTGCAAAGCGATACTTTAGCTGGCTGCTACTGTTAGATTTAAGGTTATACTTGTTTTTTTTTCTATATTTTTTTTTTCTTTTTAATTTTATATTACGCATTGGTACTTGACTGCATCGAGCGGATATCCGTTTTAATGTAAATCGGAATCAAGATTAAACAGAGAGACAGGAAACCACGCGTGGTTGGTTTCGTATTGTTTAGTAATAAGAGCAATGATGATGAACATGTTAAAAAGTGACTTGTTTGTAATAACAGAAACGCGTATCTAAATCTTTCGACTAATGATTCGCTCTTAACGGATATCACGGATGTTCCAAATCTGAGTGTTTACCGAGGTCGATAAATCGGTTAATAATTCGATCGGTTCCATAGATTTTCGTCTCTTCGATCCGTGAGCCACGACAGCACCCTTAATTTTGTCGCGGATGTTAGAAGATACTCCCGTATTTTATCGTGTTAAAGAAACCCTCTCTGAAAGCACAGTACTCAGAAATATTTTAATATTTGCGCGAGGCCGTACTACGTACTTCATCTTCACAAAGATGGATCTCAGCTTGAGCGAGGGTTGGCGAGTCGCCGAATTACGCGTTGTAAAAAGGATCATCGTACATCTTGTACATAAAATGTATATTATACTACTTAAGGGGTTAGTCTTCTGATCGTTCGATTCGACTACGCTTTTGCGTAGTATCGTACGTAAAAACACACACACACACACACAACGGTTTTGCACGAAAGAAACGTGTGGCGATACAATAGAAGCGAGGCACATCTTCGAGTTAGGGATACAACAAAGTGGGACAGGTGTACAACCAACTTAGACCTTTTATTAATTAAAAAACGCTGTCGTATACGTGATGCCGTGAAACTTGTAAATGCGATTCACGCGCAATTGAAACGCAATTAAATTTAAACACTCGCATACAGGAACTTGGTAAAAAACTATAAAGATGTGTGGAATCGTACTTTAGAAATTTCGGGAACGGGATCGAAAAGATTCGGACAAGATCGGCCGAGATCGGTAACGATCGAAATTTCCGAATTTTCGGCAAAATAAATCGATAATTTAAGCCAATCGAATCGATCTAAAGTATATACTGCCATATATACTGCTTATATCTCCAACCAATCTGATCCACCTTTGATTCGATCTTGCCCGAATCGTTGTCCAAAATCTCCAGGATTCCACCTCTGGGAACGAAAGGACAAGGCTACGCGTGCAAAGCGATCGATCGTGAATTTCTTTTCTCCCACGCGGCTCGGTCTTTCTTTTCATCGATCTTCGATAACTGCGTTTGCGGGGGAATTCTCGCGAGTTAGTTTCCGGCCATCGATCTCCCATACGTCGAACGAAACCGGTTGACCGAAAGGCAAACAATTTTAACCGACTCAGTTTCCTTAATGGCCTCGCGAATACGAGGGAGAAAGAGATCGTTCTTGGACTAAACATTTATAAGCCGCACGAACTTGTTATACTTTCGATACGCCTTATCCGGAGCTTGCGTTCTACGACTTTATCGGCGGTGAAGGAGGGAGGGGGGGGGGGGGATTTGAAGATCGATCGTTCGCGTAACTTGTTGCGAGCACGACACATATACCGATTCCGTAATTCTGTCGGTTCAAGAGGAAGAGTAGTTTTCAACGATTTTACGATATTTCTAACAAACGGCTACTTAACTTTTTTTTTTCGATCGAACGTTCGACGCACAAAGGGACGCCACGAGCAATTGAAACATATTTTATTTCTTCGTGAAATATTCGTTTAATTTCGTAGTTGAAAACGAGCGCACGTTTAATGCATAAGGGATTTTGCTTTTGAATTTTTCATTATTGGATTTTTCTTATCCGAAAGCGATCTCTTAATTATTTTAAGCAGCACAGTTTGCGCAGGATAATCTGAATTTGCTCGTTAAAAGCACAGGATATGTCACGTAATTGAAGGGATTTGAACGTTCTGTTTGCTTGAAAATAGGACAAATGGAAGAGGGAAACGTTGAGTGGTATAAATTTTATCCTGCCTTTTACTCGAAAAGGGAATACGTGTCCTTTTTTTTTTTTTCTGTTTTTTTTTTTTTGAGCACGAATAATAAAATAATACTTTTTCAAAATATTTCAGAAATTACAAACTTTTCTATCATTGTATAATGATCGAAGACTGGACGTAAAATAGGCTGCCTAAAGATACTTAAATTTTTAAGGGAACAATCTATTAAAATTTGATATTTTTTTATTTTAATAATTTTAATAGTTTTATTGATTAACAAAAAAAAAGAGAGAAAAACAGCGAGGAAACATAAACGTTATCACACCTCTTTTTTATTGTTTTATCTATTTTCAACCAAATAGAAATAATAGATTTCTTATATCTATTTCGAGATAAGGAATCTTTTCATAGATAAGAACTATATACCGACATCGATTTATAAATTTCGATAGACAGATCCATATTGGTAGATGAAATATCTTCCCCGAAAATTGCAAACAGTATTACGAAATAAATCTGAGGACGATGACGCGATGTCGATGGGACAGCGCGGAGAAAATCACGGCGTGATCGTGTAACTTCGTTTCCTCGGCTATGTTCTGACAAATAATCGATCTCTTGCAAACATAAATGAATAAAATAAAGAATAGAAAAAGAGAATAAAATTAAAACTAAAAAAAAAAAAAATAAGGTGCCAATGTACAGTGTATCTCCTGTCTAGTGATCGTTTTGGAAGCAAGAGTTTAAGAGACGAATAAAATTCTTTTCAAGAGGAAAATTCAACGGAGAATAAACGTGCGTGTATGTACATCCAGATAGAATCACAGAATCGTAATATTACGATTCGTCGTAGATACTTAATCGAAGGAAAGATCCATCTGTCTCTGTTCTTTCAAAATTATTTTTTGAACCACCTGACTCGAAATCATCCAGTTCGAAATCTACGAATCGATGAAATCTAATTTCGGATTAATTATTTTACGTAACAATTCTCACAAATTTCACTCCACTTTACATAAAATTAAAAATTCGTTAAAAATCTCGCAGAATTGCCACGCAACACGAAGTTTCAACACGAAAGAAACTCGACTTGATCGAGTTAACGATGTATCATCCCCAAATCCGCACAAAAAAGTCGCGACCTCATATCGCCGGAAGCGAGGTTACACGAGTATCGTCGTGAATTATTTTAAGCGGCCTAGCAGAGTCGCGGTTCGTCCGATCCAATCGTTCTGCCGCGCCCTGTAAATACACACACGGACCTTAATTGCACGCTAATTCACGACGTTGTTTATATGTAAATGTGGGCACGTTCGAAACAAGCGCGGCACGATCGGTTGGTACGGCGCCACGAGTATATTTTTGTAATTTTGTATTTTGACGTGTTCTCCGTGTATATATATATCGCTTCGACGCCCACGATTATCGCGCCGGGGAAGATAATTTCGTCTCACGTTCCCAAGGAATTAAACCGGGATCCGTCACGATTCGAGGCACCAGAAAACGAGCCGGCGAAATATATAACGGTCGTCGGATTTCTCCACGATTCGTCGCCATCCTCACCTCCTCTCCTCGTCGTTTAATCTCTCGTCGTCGCACGTATGTGCACGTTCTTGATTCAACGGTGTCGAGATCGCGACTCGATTTGAGTGGGGAAAATTTCGTCAAGGATTGTCTCCTTTTCTTTTTATCATTTAATAATATCCTAATATCAAAAAAATCTAATCGCTTCTAAAATCAAATTAAAGAAAATAAAATCAAAATATTATATTAATAAAAGCATTTGTTCGTCCGAAAATAATAGATCCTTCGATTTTTCAAAGACGTTTACACGTCATCAAAGGTACATTCGCATAATAATAAAAATAAATTCTCAAAGATATAAAAGTGCAAAACACCTTTACCCATTGACGAGATTTGTTTCCCCATTCTATGCATTCGCGCGAACCTCGTCACGCGCCTCCAATCCTCCCCCTGTTTCTCCCCTCCCAAGTACAACGAGCGTATACGCGAAAATAGAACGTGTCGCGCGATCTCCCCGCAATTATATGGGGGAGGTCGACCCCTCCCCCCCATATACGTACTGTATTAGCCGTGGCGTGTTTACCAGGGATGCGCATGACGAGGCAGCGTCAGTCGCCGTGTGCAATTATTATGCCGAGGATACTTTGTGCGCGCAGTTAGGCTGTTCGCATTAATGAGGCGCCCCCTTTGACTGGGTGGAAACTTGCTGCAATAACACCAGGTTTACCCTGCTCCTCCTCACCCACGTCCCCTTCGAGACGATCCCTTCGCCCTCC